TCCCCTCGCCGCATCCCGCGGCCTCCGCCGCCCGCACCGGAAGTGCCGGAACTGACGTCACCCCCACGCGTCAGCGCGCCCCGGAAGGGGGCGTGGCCTGAGGGCGGGGGCGGCGCCAGCGGCTCCGAGCGGCGGAGGGCGCCCCCCAGCGGACGGAGCGTGAGGGCTGCGCTGGACGGTACCAAGGGAAGGGGGGACGGGGGGGGGGAGAGACCCCAAAACTGCCCCAAAACTGCCCCAAAACTGCCCCGAAACTGCCCCAAAACTGCCCCCAAACTGCTCCGGGACCGGGTTAAACCTGCCCTAAACCCGGCCCTAAGCGTGTCCTCAAACGGGACTCAAGGGTGTCCCCAAATGTGCCCCGAGCGTGTCCCTTAACGGGTCCCGAATGCGTCCCTAAAGGGGCCCTAAATGTGTCCATAAATGGGCCCTAAAAGTGTCCATAAATGGACCCTAAATGTGTTCGCAAAGTGTCCATAAATGGGGCCCCAAATAGGTCCCCGAATGAGCCTTAAAAGTGTCTCTAAACGGTCCCTAAAAGTGTCCCCAAACCGGCCATAAATGTGTCCCCAAAGGGACCCTAAATGTGGCCCCGAACTGACCCTAAATGTGACCCCAAACTGGCCCCAAATGTGTCCCCAAACTGACCCCAAATGTGGCCCCAAATGAGCCCCGAATGTGGCCCCGAATGAGCCCTAAAAGTGTCCCCAAAAGGACCCTGAATGTGCCCCGAATAGGCCCCAAATGGGCCCTAAATGTGTCCCCTAAATGTCACTGAACTGACCCTAAATTTGTCCCCAGGTGGCCCCAAAACCCGACCCCAAATCGGCCCTAAACTGACTCTGAATTTATCCCCAAACAGCCCTAAAAGGATCCTAAATGTACCCCAAAACCAGCCCCAGATGTGGCCCCAAATGTGGCCCCAAATGTGGCCCCAAATGTGGCCCCAAATGTGGCCCCAAATGTGTCACTGTCCCTAAACCTGTCCCTAAACCTGGCCCTAAACCCGGCCCTAAACCTGGCCCTAAACCTGGCCCTAAACCTGTCCCTAAACCTGGCCCTAAACCTGTCCCTAAACCCGGCCCTAAACCTGGCCCTAAACCCGGCCCTGCCCCCAAATTTGGGGAGCCCCACCCTCCCCCCGAGGGGACCCAGCCCCAATTTTGGGATTTTCCCAGCGCTCGGAGGCTCCGGATCCCGGGAATTTTTTGGGGTCTCCTGGGGTTTTTTTGGGGTCTCCAGGTATTTTTTGGGGTTTCCTGGGATTTTTGGGGTCCCTTTTCATTCCCCCGCACCCCAAAACCCCCGAATCCGGGGTCCCCCCCGTGCGGACGCGTGGGGATAAATCCGGATTTTCCTGTTCCAGCCTCGTGCCGGGATGGGCTTGGACGGAGCCTACAAGCAGGTACGGGCTGGGGACACCCCAAAAATCCCGAATTTCAGAGTCCTGGGGTACCCCAAAACCCCAAATTTGGGAGTCCAGCCCAAAATCCCGAATTTCAGAGTCCTGGGGCACCCCAAAACCCCAAATTTGGGAATCCTGGGGCACCCCAAAATCCCAAATTTGGGAATCCTGGGGCACCCCAAAATCCCAAATTTAGGAATCCTGTGGCACCCGAAAATCCTAAATTTAGGAATCTTGTGGCACCCCAAAATCCAAATTTGGGAGTGCTGGGATACCCCAAAATCCCAAATTTAGGAATCCTGGGGCACCCCAAAATCCAAATTTCAGAGTCC